GGTTTGGCTCAGTGGATAGAGCGTCGGCCTGCGGACTGAAAGGGTCCCAGGTTCGATTCTGGTCAGGGGCATGTACCTTGGTTGTGGGCACATCCCCAGTGGGAGATGTGCAGGAGGCAGCTGATCGATGTTTCTCTCTCATCGATGTTTCTAGCTCTCTATCTCTCTCCCTTCCTCTCTGTAAAAAAATCAATATAATATATATATATATATATTTTTAAAAATTTGTCAATGATTTCCCAAGCCCTCAAGGTAAAGGCATAATTTTTTAACCTGGCTTTGGCAGTTCTTCTACCCCACTCCCACCCACTCCTCTTGCTCAGTTGTTACTCAATTCCTTGAAACTTGCCATTCTCTCTTGACCTTACATGATGTTCCCTTAGCCTGGAACTCTCTTTCCTGCCTTTTTCCCCAGCTGACTCCTACTAACCTTTCAGGCAGATCTCAGCCTAAACTCACCTCACCACTGTACCTTCCAGAATCCCCCATACTGGGCGAGCTGCCTCTGCTCTCTGCGTCCACTGTCTATTATTTCCCCAGGACAGCATTTATCCTCTTTGTTACTAACTACCTTTTTATTTACTCCCACACCCAATTGGAAGCCTACCTTATTTCCCACTATAACCCAGAGTCTAGTACTGGTGGGTTCTCCATGAATAATTGTTAAAGTAGTGAGTGAACAAAGCCTTCCCTGTCTTCACAGTGCAGACTCAGGCACCCACTGCAGCTTCTACAACTACCATCCTCATAGTCATTATGTTGGATGATAGATGATTGCTTTTCTGAGTGTCCCTCTCTCCTTATGGATTGGGATGATACTGCTAATGTTTGTACTCCAGTGCCTAATGCAGAGCTCAGCATTCAACCTTCCATCTGTCCTCTCATTATTTTTAACAAATATTTATTAAGGCCCTGGCCAGGTAGTTCTGATGGTTAGAGAGTCGTCCCACTATGTCAAGGTTGCTAATTCCATCTCCGGTCAGGGCACATACAAGAAGCAACCAATGAATGCATAAATAAGTGGAACAACAAATCAGTGTTTCTCTCTCCCTCTTTCTTTTCTCTCTCTTCCTCTGTCTCTCTCTAAAATCAATAAACAAAAATAAAAACACACAAATATTTATTGAGTACTAGAGACTGTAAATGCAGCAGTGAATGAGGTAGAAAGAATCCTGCCTTCAAGCTCACATTCTAGGGGCAAAGATGGGTGCGTAGTGAGCCGGAGTTCAGTGAATCTAATTCATACCGAGAAGCCCCTGCAGGCTTTCCTTTCCACAGC